TTACAGGTGTGTGTCACCGTGCCTGGCTCAAATAAACAACTTTTAGAAGAGAGCTGGGGGGGGGGGGGCAGGCTGGGGATTTAGCTCAGTGGCATAAGCGCCTGCCTTGCAAGCCTGTGGTCGTGAGTTGGATCCGTGGTACCGGTAAAAATCCAAAAAAAAAAAAAAAAAAAAAAAAAAAAAGAAAGGAGGTGGGGATGTAAGGTGAAAGAGTAATGATTAAACAGGTTTATAGTAAGCGACACACTGCCATTGCCCATCCCCCCATTCTTCTCATCACTTGAAATACACTCAGCCCATCAGTCCTGCTACTTTGCAGCAGCTCGGGATTTACTTTCCAGAGTGTCTATACAAGGAGTGGTAAAAATTTGGTGAGAGGACTGGGGATACAGCTCAATAGCACAAATGCCTGCCTGGCAAGCGCAAGGTCGTGAGTTAAATTCCTGGTTAAAAAAAAAAAAAAAAAGAAACGCAAAAATTCGGTGAATGTTGCTGCCGAGTGCCATCTAGCGGAAAGGCCGCTCCCAAAAGCCCGACGCTGAGTCCGCACACCTTCCTCCTGCGTGTGACAACGTGTGACTTATGGCTCTTCCCCAAGCTCAAAATGACCAGGGAAGGTCAAGTTTTGAACGGATGCAAGACGGCTCTGGGCCGTCCCTCTCTGCAGGACTGAAGCCCTTTCTGCAGTTGGGGCGTTGGGCCCAGCCCGGGACAGCTGCGCAGGCCCTCAGCTGTCTGGGTTCGCGCCCAGGTCTGAGGAGGACAGGGGGGCCCGGCTCGCGGAGGTCAGGGGCGGGGCCTGGACCAACACAAGGGGCGGGAGCGGCGGACAGAGAGGGCGGGACCTGGAGGTCTACTCCGAGGCCTTAGCTTGTTGAGGGTGCAGACTGCGAGAGGGTCCGCACGCTGTCATTTACACTGTCCCGGGTGTCCACTGTGTCAGGGAACCTCTGCTTCAGGGGCTGGAAGAGGGGGGACAAGCCGTCTCCCCACTTCCCTGCAGGAGAGGCCTGCAGGGGAGCTTTCTTCCTTTGCCGAAGGCGCCATGGAGAAGGGGTCACAAGGCTGCAGTCCACTAGGGTCTGTGGCCAGCAGGCGGGGATAGGAGGAGGAGGAGGAGGAGGCGAAAGAGGGGACGCATGGGGTTGAATCCCCAGTGCGCTGGGCCTGCACCACAGCCTTGTCCCCTGTGCTCCTGACCACCGGCCTTGTCTGCGGGTGTCTGTGACCGGGCCATGGCTGCCACTGTTGGTGTCGACCAATTCTCCAGTGGGCGGCAGTGCGGATAGGGAGGTGCTGACCGCCCTCCGCAGATGACAGTTCTTAAAAAGCTCGAATCTGAGGCAGCAGCATCAAACTGGAGTTGTGTTGTGCTGCTGAGCTATGGCCCTGGGTCTGTATGTTTTTTTGCACTATATTTATTATTTTGTCTGTTTGTTTTTGAGACAAGGTCTCACTATATAGTCCAGGCTGGACTTGCACTCAACATGTAGCCCAGGGTGGCCTCAGAAATTGTGGCAGTTCTCACTACTCAGCCTCCCAAATCCTGGGATTACAGGTCTATATTTTGTCTTCGCACTTTAAGACAAAATTGCATGTTGATGCGTTTTTTGTGAACCGTGATGTACAGCGCTGTTTAAAATACAGCTTGTCTCTGTCATAATTCACAACCGACTGGATGAAGGACGCTCAGAACATGTGGACACACACTATCACCTTGTCCCGCTCAGCATTACCATGCTTGTCTACACATTCTGGCAACTTTCTGCCCAGCCCACCACCCCGGGTGCTCCTTTCCTGCTGGGGAACTGAGCAGCTCTGTCCTTTCCTGTCCATGCCTTTGAAAGTCTCTGGAGGCATCTCAGATCCTCTCTTCAGCTTCCTGCTGCAGCGCGCCTGGGCCTTGACAAGACGGCAAGCCCCGTGTTGTGCCAGGTTGGCCTTGTTGTCTGTGGAGCACAGTGGAAGGGATGTAAAGTTGTGGAAGACAGGCTCCCACCTCGATAGCCAGGATGCTGAGGGATGCTGATAAACTGTGTCTGTGGGGTGAGCCGATATTAGATCAACAGGAGAAAGACTTTCAAACTGAAGACACTGGCACAGCCCAAGAAAAAAAGTGATTACCCTGTGCCCCAAGGAAGTGTGGAAGCTGCTATGTGTGGGGTGCTGATGAGGTGACTAGGGGGGAGGCAAGGTAATGTTGGAAGGGAATAAATGGATCTGAAGAACAAGGCCCATGACAAAGGCCACTTGGATGTGGCAGCCTTTCATATAGGCATTGCTTAACGTTTCATTGCTAGGACTAGATCCCCAAACACATGATCTAAGGGGAGGCTGATTCAGCTTATGATTTAGAGAGTTCAGTTCATACTGCTGCTCCAAGGTGGGACACCATAGTGCCAGAGCTCAGTGGAGCAACACTGCCCAGTTAATGGCAGGCAGGAAGCTCAATGCGGCAGAGCACCAGAGGGAAGGGGCCAGGGAGCAGTGTGGACCCCAAGGTCAGACCTCCATGACCCTAGACATACCCCAGAGTGGGCTTTACTGGCCCCTGGTGTTTCTCTGTAGGGTGGTGTGTGAGGGGAAGCAGCCATAGCCTTCTTCTCAGAGCTGAGTCATGCAGTGGTGATGAGATTCCTGGGGAGGGCCCAGGACGGGGCAGATCTCTCTCTCTCTCTCTCTGTTTCTTTCTTTGTCTTTTTGAGACAGGGTCTCACTCTGCAGTTCAGACTGGCCTTGGGCTCACTTTGTAGCCCAGACTGGTCTTGAATTTGCAACAGTCTGCCTGTCTCAGCCTCCTGAGTGCTGGGATTATAGGAGTGTTCCACCACGCCTGGCTTACAGGGTAGATCTTCATGAAGATTCAGTTTCAAGCCAGATAAAGAAAATTTAGAAAAGGCCTTTTAGGCAGGTCCAGTGGCCTATGCCTATAATTCCAGCACTTAAGAGGCTGAGGCAGGAGGACCAGGGGTGCAAGACCATCCTGGGCTACATAACAAGTTCCAGGTTAGCATAGACTGCATTACAAGATCTTGTGTCAATAATTAAAGAGAGAAAGAGCAAGAAAGAAATCCTTGTTCCATGTTTTAGGGGAGGAGGGATGAGAGATGAAAGGGCAGGAGCACATCAGAGAGACCTCGGGTTTCTTTTAACTCAGAAACTCAGCAAAGAAATCATGAAATCAAAGAGAGATTGTATGAAAGATTGCTTTCTACCTCTTTCTCTCTTTCCTCCTTTTGATTTTGGGAAAAACTTTTTCTAAGTCATTAAGTTATCCAGGCTAGGCTCTAACCTGTGATACTTCTACCTCTGCTTCCCAGGGTGCTAGGATTACAGGCCTGATCATCATGCCTGTCTTCAGCCACAAGGTTGAACTTAATATTTTTAGTTGTTAGCTCTTGAACCTAGGGCCTCTTGCATGCTAGGAAAGTGCTCCCCCACTGAGCTGAATTCACCCTGGGTTCTCTGAGAGGGAGCACCCTGTCATGTGGAGGTGTGGGGGTGATGGGGACGCTCAGTCTGTGGGATGCACTGAGGTCTGTGGGGTGCAGGGTGGCTTGGCTTGCAGGAGTCTCTGGGCCCAGGAACACCAAGGGCCACCACCAGCGGGGATCTGGAAAAGTTCAGCCTGGTTTCTTCCTGGCAGAACCCAGAGAGCAGAGCACAGTGTACCCGTTCTCAGAGGATCCACTAGATGAGGTGCAGAGCAGGTGAGAATTAATGTTAATAAGCAAAATAAATTGAGAGGCTGCCCCAGGCCTACATGTCTTTCAGTGAGACCCCTGGCTAGCTTAGGGACAGATTAATCTTTAAGCCTCCAGCCAGAGCTGAGACTAGCAAGCAGCCTAGGAAGTTCTGGGGCCTCAGGGTGAGATAATGCGGGTGCTGCAGACTGGACTCTCGCTTTCTGCCTTGCTCAGGAATGCTGTGAGCAGACAGGTTACCAGTTAACTCTGATCTGCTCCTGTGTGCTTTTCCAATAATGCACTGTCCCTCAGTCCTCTAACCCTGAACTCATCAGTGGTTCACCCTCACCGCTTCCTGCAGCGCTCCCACATCCCTCAGCATGCCATGCACCTAATAGAGGCCAGAGCCGCTGTGCTTTGCAGTCCTTGCCTGTCACAGGGCTCTGACCACCTTGGTGCCCCTTGGAACTAAGTGTATGTGTTGTCTGTTCTTTACTGTCACCGTACCTCTGAGCAGGCCATCAGTGGTCCTGGGCTAGGGCCTGATAATGCTGCCTTCAGAGCTCAGACCATGCCTGTCTGCTGCCGAGCCCCTGTGTGGCACTGTCCACCTGCCCCAGGAATCAGGGTTAGGGGGAAGGAAAAGCACCAACAGTCCCAGTGAGATGGGGGAAGGATGCATCCATCCCAGTCACTGCCTAGCACTGTTAAAGAGGTTGGGGCCTGCTGAATTAGGGAGCAAGAACCCAGAGGCATACATTTCTCCCTGTACTGGGGATCAAACCCAGGATCTTTGCACTAAATTACTTCAGCAATTTTTCTTTTTCTCCCCCTATCCTTTTATCTTTGAGACTGAGTCTCACTATGTAATCCACCTGCTTCAGCCTCCTAAGTGCTGGGATTACAGGCATGTGTTACCACAGCATAACCACCTTGCTTCCAAATAGGGCAAGGCCTTCATACCAATGCAGTCCTCACAAGCAGTACAGATGCCTTTGCCATCTGCTACCCCAGGCAATGCCCTGCCTCAGGCTCTCAAGTAGCCAGGATCACAGGTGAGAGCCACTGTGTCAGGCTAAGCATGAACAGTAGGATCTAGTGGGCTGCGCAGTGGTAGGTTTACAGGCCCTGCGACCTCAGCAGTCAGGAAGAAGCCAACAGCTGGTGAATCTCCCCGTCCGCGAGGAAGCTGGGTTCTCTGAAGTTCAGCGTAAGCCTTCTGTAAGCCTTCCTAAGCCTGTGAATATGGTGAATATCAACCGGTTTCCCAACACTGAACCAATTTATTTTTTACTTTTTTTTTTTTTTCCAAGACAGGATCCGACTGGCCTTGAACTCCTGGTGAAGCTCCTGCCTCAGTCTCTTCTGTGCTAGGACAGCAGGTGTGCACTACCACGCAGGGCTGCATACTGAAGGTTCTGGGATTAGCTGGGGACCGCCCTCGCTCAGCGCCCAGCCCTTAGTGCTCCGGAGGGGTGGGCTCCGGCAAGTTTGTGTGCATTTAGTACTTTGGCGCCACCATCCGGCGTGTCTGGGTTGAACCTGGGGATGGGGCATTTCCCTAAGCTCACGGCGCAGAGCGCGCACCCACAGGAGAAGCGGAAGCGAGGCTGAGGCAGGAGGATCACAAGTTTGAGCCCAGCCAGGGGAAGGGGGTGGTTTAGGGAGACCCTGTCTCAAAGTAAGGACGTTAGAAGAAGGGCGGGGCGCGGCTCAGGGCGAAGGCCGTGTTCGCCGCAGCTGGGGAGGCGAAGCCGCTGCGCCCAGGGCCTGCAGCCGGCCTCGCCCGCGACGCCCCCAGCGCCCGGCCTCTTGCACACACCCTGACAGACAGAGTTGGGTTTGGATATCTTTAGCGTTTCGCTTTTGAGAAAGCGAGTGTTGTTCTTAACAGAGACGCTGTGATCCTGCGTTGGCGGCGCGCGCGATTACTACGCGTGAGGTAGGGTAGGGGCGGTCAGGGCGGCTCCCCCGGAACCCGCTGCTCTGCGGTGCTGCTCTGGGTGCTGCTCTTCGGCTCCCCGGTTTTACTTCTTCTTGAAATGACACCCACTGCCCAGTAATCTTTTTTTTTTTTTTTTTTTTTTTTTGAAACAGGATCTTGCTGTAGAGTCCAAACCGGCTTTGACCTCACGGTGATCCTTCTGCCTCAGTCTCCAAAATGCTGGCTTCAGTCTGCGGTAGGACAGAAGAAATAGAAGACATACCTAACGGGAGGCACGGACATCACCGCTAAAAACCTGCACTTTTAGGAAGACCGTAGCTCCCAGCCGGGCACACAAGGCGATGCCCATCCACTTCCTCTGGCGGACTTGGGACTGTTTCCTGCCGGACTCAGCGCACTGAGATTCCTCGGGAGTCCTGGAGTCAGGAAATCACCTTCCCAGAGAAAGTGAGGGGTGGGAGGAGACCCCAAGTCTAGGTGAAGCCTGAGTGTGTCCGGTTACAGTGGGGAGCCCGTAGTGTCTCCTCCGCTGGGCGCCTCCCCACCTCCTCCGCCTCTCCAGAGCAGAGCGGAGCGCAGCGCCTCCCCTTTCCCTGAGCATGTCCTGCCTCTGCCCACCGAACCTCCCGGCTTCTTCCTACCGAAATCGGAGAGCAAGCCGGTTTCAAAAGGGCAGGCGAGGCCCTGGCTCCAGCCTGGGGTCCACCCTCGGCCGCCCTCCCGCTTCCCATCCTGTCCCTCTCCAGTCTCCAGGGCGCCCTTAACCTTCCCCGCGATGACCTATGCCCCCCCCAACCCCCCCCCCCCCCCCCCCGGCTCTGAGCTCTGCCCATCTGGGGACACTGGGTAGGGGCTGCCGGGATCCCAGAGGACAAGTGGCCGCCTCGGGAAGGGCCTGAGATGGCAAACGCAGCGCCAAGGCCAGCTGTCATCAGACCACAGCCGCTGGGCTGGGGGGGGGGGGGCTGGGCGCCTATGCAGTGCCAGGGATCCGACCAGGCAGACCCCTTCCTGCTTTCACTGCCACGGCTCATTATCTCGTCTGGGCTGGAGCCCAGGGCCTCCCTGCTCCTTCACTGGCCACCTGGGAAACTCCTTTGGGGTATCAGCAGGGCCAAGGCAGGGAAGGGGTCAGGGGACAGGAGCCGCTGCTCCTGCCCTGCCCTGCACCCTGTGCTCCAGTGCTTGGCTTCAGCACCAACAGGAAAAGAAGGAATCGCCATGTGATTCCCCAGGGGCCAGGACACTCTCTCTGCTCGACCAGACTCCAGGACTTTTACCTCTGTTACGGTGACCAGGGCAACGGACAGGGTCCCGCAGGTCAGCTTGGCTGTCCTTGTCTTCCTCTGACATGGTGGCGTCTGGACCTCATCCAGCACCTTCAGCAAGGATCCTGCTACTGGGTCAGCTGCCCTGTGCCTCCTCTGAGTGGCCCGTCCACCCCTCCTCCCCTGGTCGACGCCACCTCCCTGGTGCCCCTCCAGAGGGACTGGAGTCCAGTGTCCTCTCCCTAGGGACGGTCGAGACTGCCGTGGTCCCTGCCCCTTGGTCAGCGAGACCCCCGAGTGACTTTTGCACAAAAAAGAAGACTTTGAGGTTCTGTAAACAAAACGCATAGAACCGGTCAAAGAAAAAAAAAAAAAAAACAGTTGGTCGTTGCTCAGAACAGTCCTTAAGCAGGTAGGTGGTTAGAGAAGGGATGTCCGTGTGAATACCATGGAATGCTGTTCAGCCACATAGAGGAGTGAAGTGTGCATGGAACCGGAGATGGTGACATTCAGTGAATAAATCAGGCCAAAAAAGTAAAAGTATTTCTCAGGTAAGAAATCTAGGCTGTAAATAGAAGGGTAAAGAAGAGTTGATAGGAAACATAAAGATAGACCTTTCGGAGCAGGGGTAGGGAGAGGAAAGGCTGAGAGAGGAAGGGGGCAGTGCCTACCTCTCAGGGGGAAGTGACTGCTACATGGCACAAATGCACACTCATAGAATGCTAAGAGAAGGTTTGGCTGTGGAGAGTAAGGGATCGAACTCACGACTGTGTGCTTGCAAGGCAGGCACTTAAGCCATTGAGCTAAATCCCTGGTCCCTAAGATTGATCTTTGAAAAGGGGGAAAGAAAGGCTAGCCAAGCACGGTGGCCCAGGCCTGTAATTCCTGCAGCCTTGGAGGCTGAGGTGGGAGGATCACAAGTCCAAGAACAGCTGGACAATTCAGTAACTAAGTGACCAGTCTCCGAATAAAAATTAAAGGGGCTGGAGACGTAACTCAGAAGGTCCTGGGTCCACTCCCCACTATTGTAACAAAACAAAACACCCAAAAACAAAGCCAGAGAAATATCTGATGGGCTAAAGATCTTCCCACATGCTCCACAGGTGATCACACCCAACTCTGCTCCACCTCTGCAGGGCCAGGCTGTGTGGAGGCTGAGTGGTCCACTTCCTCAGAGGCTCAGCCTGGAGCTCAGCATCCTGGGAGGAGAGGAGGGGAAGGGTGAGGAGGGAAGGGAAGGAGGAGAAAAAGAAGAGGGAGAGGGTGGAGGAGGGAAGGGAGAGAAAGGTAGAGAGGGAGGAGGGAATAAGGGAGGGGAGGAGAAGGATGGGGGGGGAGGCAGTTGGGGAGGAGGCAGTGGGGGAGGGAGAGGGGAAGAAAGGGAAGAGTGGGGGAGGGAGAAGAGTGGGGGGGGAGGGGAGGAAATGTGGGAATAGGGGAAAGGAAGGAAGGGAATGAAGATAGGGAGTAGGAGAGGGAAGGGCAAGGGTAGTGAGGCAGGAGGGAGCCAGCAGGGAGGTGAGCCAGGCTAGCATGGGGTCAGCCCACAACCCAGGGGTTCTGTGGAGACCAGGAGACCAGCCAGGTGCTTGGCACCTGGACCCCAGACCCACCTTGACCCCTAACTTCCAGCTGGTCCTGTGTTAAAACTCTCCTTTTATTTTGTAGGCCAAAGCCACAGCTGATTATAAATCAGAAACTCCAAAAGAGAGAAAGCAAGCTGGGTGTGATGGCACACACCTGTAATCCCAGCACTTGGGAGGCTGAGGCAGGAGGAGTGCTGTGAGTTTGAGGCCAGCCTGGCCTCAGTAGTGAGTTCAGGGCCAGCCTGAGCTGCACAGTGAGACTCTGTCTCAAAAAAACAAAACAAAACAAAACAAAAACCCCAAAAAACAAAAACCACCAGGAGGCCACCTGCCAGGCATCCCTGAACCAAAGTTAGTCGTCTGTCCCTGAGGCCCAGCCAGAACCAGCTGGTGGTGCTGGGTGACCACAGTCCAGGGGCAGCAGGCAGCATGTTCAGTGGCTTCAATACCAAGCCCAGCTCTTGTTGCAGGTGGCTGAGGCAGGGATCTCGATGCCCCTCATCAGCTCCTGCCTGTGCCAATGCTCCTGGGATTCACTTGAGCGTGATTCTGTAGGAACAGAGATGTCTGCGAAGGCGTGGGAATCCACACTGGGCAGGGCCAGCGCCTTTTGGGCAGGATTGCAGTGGCCCCTTTGCAAAGGTGATGGATCATGGAGTGAAGCTGCCAGCTGTCCTGATTGGGCCAAAGGTTGCAGAGGAGGGGAGGGAGTCTATTTAAGGATGTGGTCACCACAGGCAATGGGAAAAATATTTTATCTGAAGTAAAAGACAACTATTTGGAAGAAAACTAGAGAAAACAAGATAGACAGTGAAGTTCTCCAGTGGACCTGCTTTGAAATCTGTGTTTCTTTAAATTGTTTCCTTATGAACTGTTTTGTTCTGTTTTGTTATGTTTAATCTTACGCTCTTTAAGATAAAAAACAAGTGTATAGGACTGATAACCATATTACTAAGTTCTTGTTGGATCGTTGAGCAGAACTGTTTGCAGTGTCATTATTTGAATATCACTTTGTATACTTTAATTTTGTATTTTAATTCTGTATTGTCTCTACCTTTTTTTTCCTGTTTTTTTCTTTCTCTTAAAAAAAAAAAAAGACAATTGAATTGGAATTCCAGTAAAACAGAGTAAAATCTACAGGAAAGGGGGGTGTTTAACTCAACAGTGTAGCCCCTGTCTGGTCAGCACAAGGTCTTGACCTTGATTCTTGTTACCCCCTCAACAAATCTACAGGAAAACATGTAATGAAATGTTGAACAGGAGGAGAGAATGGAAAAGGCCTGAGGTGTTCCCAGGAATTCTGGTTAGCCTGACAGATGTGGGCAGAGGTCAGGGCCCTGCTATGGGGTCCCGCTGTACTCCGGAGCGAGGAGTCTGTACTGGAGGTTCTCGTGGATGGAGAGCGGGCAGGGTGCTGGAGCTGACTCTGATGGGTCCCTTCCAGTCTGCCATGCATGTGGGTGAAGGTGATCTGTGGGTCCTGAGTCTGGGAGGAGGCTTTTTAAGAAGTGTGGTTTGATAGGTGCTCTCCTGCTGCCTTGACGTATGTCTTTTATAGAGGTAGCTGGAGTATGAGAAGAAGGCAGGTCTCGGAGTTCAGAGAAAGGCTGTCATGGTAAACAGTCGTGGTTCTGTATCTTGGAAGACCTCCACACCTGGAAGACACGGATGTATTTCTTATCCCATGAGAAACCTGAGTCCCTTAATTTACTCTGGCACCAAGAACATGCATAGACTAGTCAGAACTTTTCATAGGTCAATTAACAGAGATCTCTTATAATGAGAATTAGAAGAAATGAAAATCTTTTGTTTATAATCAATATGTTTTCCGGTGTTTTTTTTTTTTTTTTTTTTTTATCGGTACCAGGGATCAAACTCAAGACTGCCTGCTTGCAAGGCAGGCGCTTATGCTGCTGAGCTAAACCCCCAGCCCCTGTTTTCCCGTGTTTTATCTTAAGATTTTCTGCAGTGCTCCTCTGTGGACTTCTGGCCTGAACATCTCCTTTCACACACACAGGCCTTGTTTCCCTTCGAACATTGTGGATGAGGTCTTTGTGTGAGATCAGCTTTCATAAGATTTGGCTTTTATGTTGTGACAAGTGTCTGTACTGACCAAGAAGGACATGGACTGACCCTGCATTGTAAGGGTCACCTCGAATCTGGCATCGGAAATGCTCTGGGTGCCTCTGCAGTCTCTGGTCAAGTCGGTCTTCAGTGCCAAGCCCAGAGGGTCAGGGAAGGGGCTGATTGGGGGTCAAGGCCGCAGTCTAGAGCCTGAGGGGCAGCTGCCAGCACAGGACAATTCGACTGCCAGTGGGGACCTCACAGGAAGGGTATGGCTTGGCAGGGTCCCAGGCTGCAGGCATGCCCTGGCCCGATGACTGTCCTGGCAGCACTGTACATGTGGCCCTGGAGGAACAGCCTTTTGCTGGAAAGCCCTAGAGACACTTTGAGCCTCAACTGGGCATGTGGCATGTAGGTTATTGTGCCTGGTGCAAGCAGACGGAGGGTGACAAGATCATCTGCAGGAACAAAGAGAAGGGACCCCTTTTTATAGCAACTGAGAGAGGATGTTGTGTTTGATGATGAGAGCCTGGGTGCTGAGCTGAGCCCCACTGGTACCAGTGCCTCTGATGGCAGCCAGGGTGGGTCTGATTTGAGTCTCATGGCTTAAACTTCTGATTGTTCTGCCTCAGCCTCCCAGAGTGCTGTGATGGTTCCCCGGCCCATTTTCCTCTTTTAAGCTGATTAATTTAGATGTTTTTATTCCAGCATGGGATTTGATGAGCAGATTGTGTGAGTCCAGATACCCACATGTGCAGCTGCTCCTTTACAACGTCATTGCTCTGTGCACAGTGTGTGAGATCACCATGGTTTCCTTTCCACGCCTGTGGGAATCCCATGCAGGAGGAAGGAACATAACTTTATGCTTCTTTCCTGTTAATGACTCTTGTATTAATTGTTCCTAGATCCTGGCAGAAAACTCACAGGAGACTGAGGGGAACCTGATGGTTATCCCAAAAGTCCCAGAGGCTGAGGCAGGAGGAACCCAAGTTCAAACCAGCTTGGGCAACTCAGTGACTTAGCAAGACCCCATCTCAAAATAAAAATAAAAAAGAGCTGGAAATGTAGCCCCGTGTAAACGCCCTGGTTAACACTCATGCACAAAAGAAAGGAAGGAAGGAGGGAGGGAGAAGAAATAAAGAAATTGAAAGGGCTGAGAACGGGGTGGTGCTGTGGAGGGGCTCTGCCTGCCTCCTCTCGGCCCTCTGTGGAAGAGGGAGCCATATCTACCAGCTCTATTCCCAAGCTCCTCCTCTTCAAGCCGAGCTGCACCTCAGCTGCTGCCCCAGAACCCACATGCCCTTCGTGGCTGGCAGGGCTCGTTGTGTTGGAGTGTCAGGGATGCCATCATGGCTCTTGACACCCAGCATCTCTGCAGGTGAGGCTGGGTGCCCTTAGGAGTCTCTGGCCCAGCTCCCCTGGCCCTGGCCAGCACCCCAGTGGGTCCTGGTCTCCATCCCGTGCTTTGGGGGCCATGTGAGTGGGCACAGTGTGCTCCAGCATGTGGCACTGTGTGGCAGCCGAGTCCCTATGTGATGCTAGGCTGGTGACACTTCGGATGCTTCCGGCTGTCCCCCATATGCATTACCCTCTTGTCCACTTTCTGTTCCTGCTTTTCGTTCCTGGATCCTTGTCCTTCCTCTGGCCTGTAACCCACACAGGGAGCTGT